GCTCCTGGTACTCCTTCAGCAGCCTGGCCATGTCCTGCTTGGCCTTCTGCAGGGCATCCTCCAGCCCTTCCAACTTGTTCCTGGCATCCTTGAGGGCCAGCTCCCCACGCTGCTCAGCATCAGCGATGGCAGCCTGCAGGTTGGCGCACTGAAGGGGAAGCAAGCAGAATGGACTTGTCATCTGGTACTTCCAGGGGGCGGACACCGGTCCTTCACTCCCAGTGAAGAGGAGTCCAAGAGCCTATGGCTGCTAGAAACAAGCAGAATCTAACTGATTCTGTCTTGTGTACCTGCTTCTTGACGTGGTCAATCTCAGATCTCAGCCTCTGGATCATGCGGTTGATCTCAGTGATTTCCTGCTTGGTGTTCCGCAGGTCGTCCCCATGTCTCCCTGCTGTGACCTGCAGCTCCTCATACTGTGGGTTGGTTGAATAGACAGAAAATCTATATGGGTTTCATATACACAGAAGGGTTCCCTCTTCTGAAGCAGATAGTCATCACCTTGAAAGTTTTGGAAAAGTGCATTTTACATGGTTATTGGACAATGTAAACCCCAGTCACAGAACATGCCGGTTAGGAGACTATATACTGTCCAATTCTCTTAGGATCTGACAATGTTCTGTAGGGTATTCTGAGGAGACACATTCAGGGTACAGGTTAAGCAAGATGACTAGGTATCATTTCTCCTTCCTCTGAGTTCTTTTGCTTTCTAGATTTGCTATAAGTTCTCTAAATCTCTAGTCATGCACAGTGCACTTGGTGTGAGAAGACCCCTGCTGTCTTTCAGTAGGTCCCCCATGCCAGTGGATCAAAAGCCTTCCGGTATTAGGAGCATGGGGCCTGGAGCATGGGGCATGGATCCCTCAGCAGCTGCCACCCCACTCCTCACCTTGGTCTGGTACCAGGACTCAGCCTCAGCCCGGCTCCTCTGAGCGATCTCCTCATATTGGGCTTTGACTTCAGCGATGATGCTGTCCAGGTCCAGGCTGCGGTTGTTGTCCATGGACAGGACGACAGAGGTGTCTGAGATGTGGGTTTGCATCTGAGACAGTTCCTACAGAACACAAGGTGCTTTGGTCTTCTTTGTGCACAACACTTACAGAAGTACCAACATCCAGGTCTTCCTGCCTTGCAGGTCCCGTCAACGTGAAGGGTAAGCGGGTAAGGAAACTTACTGCATCATAGAAGGCTCTCAGGAAGTTGATCTCATCGACAAGACTGTCTACCTTGGCTTGCAGTTCAGTCTTATTCATGTAAGCCGCATCCACATCCTGGGGACAGAGGCAACAAAGTAGAGTCAGCTGAGCCCTCCTGCTCAGGCCTTCCATCTCGATCTCCCTGGCACCTCTCCTCTTGAGTGGGAGTGGGACACAGAAGTCTATCTCTGGTTCGGCAGAGAAACCTGAATCCCGACTTAACTAGCTCACCTTTTTCAAGGTCACAAATTCATTCTCTGCTGCTGTGCGCTTGTTGATTTCGTCTTCATATCTACGAGGCAAGGGTATACCACATTTGATCCAGTGTGTAGCTGAAACCCAAAGGCTGTCTCTGATCCCGTGTTTCCATAAATGGGATATATCCAGATCCCGCCACAGACAGACTAAACAATGGTTTTTGTTGTGACAGCATTTCTTCTTTTCACTCTACCCCAACCTCCCCTGACTCTCTGGCTTACATTTGTTTTGCTTTTGGCAATGGTTTTTGATTGCCACTTCTAGCACATGTTCTCCCACAGAGTTATGCGCACATCTAGACTTGTCATCCCGTTGTTCTGGGCTGTGAGCTGGAGAAACTGAGCCCACTCCTCCTTTTTCACTCACTTGTTCTTGTAGTCTTCCACAGTGTCCTGCATGCTCCTCAGCTCTGAGTCCAGGCGGCCTCTCTCTCCCTGGATGGAGTCCAGCTGCCTCCTGAGGTTGTTGATGTACTGCTCGAACAAAGGCTCCAGGTTCTGCCTGACTGTCTTGGTGCCCTGCTCCTGAAGCAGAGTCCACTTGGTGTCCAAGACCTTGTTCTGTTGCTCCAGGAACCGCACCTGGAAGGGGCGCAAGATGGTTATTTCTTAGACAAAGGCAGAAACCAAGCAGCGGTGTGTTGGCAGACCTCCCTGCAGTCTGGGCTTCTCTCCGCTGCATGGCTCTGAGCACACACAGAGCCTCAGGTTGAGAGTTTGGCCCTCTGCAGTTTCTCTTTTGCACCACACAGACCCACCAGGAAAATCTCATTATGGGCCACCCAGGACTTCTCACCACCTGATGTACCATCCTGATCAGAGGTTTTGAGCATTTCTTCTTCTCTTTCCAAGCCCAATCACAATTCGAGTTTAAAACAGTATTTTTGATACATTGTACAAGTTTCCATTATGGATATGATCTCAGTTATAGGGATATAAATGTTGCCTAATGATTAGATTAACATCTAACCTCCCATTTAATGCACATATCTCCTATAACACATCCCAGTCTCAGAGTCACTTTCTATTTCTGCAATAAATTAACATTTTTACATATTGTGTAACTTGCTCTAATTTTTCCCTTAACCTAGCCTGAAAATCTTTCTCTTTTCATTTTTTGTTTAGCCTTTTCCTTATATTCAGATCCCAAAGTGGAATTAGCGGCCCAAACACCTCTGGCATTTGTTGTGTCTCTTAGAACCTCAAGGAGGGAAACCTACCCCTTCCCACCCTCACACTGCCTCTGCTGGGGTCTGGAGGGGACTCAGCAGCTCCAAGTGGTTTGCATCTCCTCCTGCTCTTGTCACCATGGGGCCATCTCCTGCCCCGTGGAGAGGTGGTGTGAAGCCCTCTCCCTGTGTCCTAGGCTCCCCTGGTGGAGGTTTGCTGTGTCTCTATCTGGGCTCCCTGAAATGCCCTGTGGAGGGGCAGGGCCTCGGGGCTCACCTTGTCGATGAAGGAGGCGAACTTGTTGTTGAGGGTCTTGATCTGCTCACGCTCCTCAGTCCTCACTCGCTGGATAGTGGGGTCGATTTCCAAGTTCAGAGGAGTGAGAAGACTCTGGTTGACTGTGACCTCTTGGATGCCTCCAGGGGGGCACACAGGGAAGCCAGCGCCCCCATAGCCACCTCCAAAGCCAGCTCCACCACCAAGCCCAAAACCACTACCAGCTCCACCACCATAACCAAATCCACTGCCGGCTCCACCTCCAAAGCCAAAGCCACCTCCAATTCTGCTGCCATATCCTCCACCAGTGGCACAGCTGCCCCCTCCGATGGAGATTCTCTTGGAACCCCCCAGGCCATAGAGGCTCCTGCTGCCAAAGCCAGCTCCTCCACACGCTGCCCCAATGCCACCACTGCCCCTGGAGCGGCACACAGAGACACTGCTGAAGCCAGAGCGGCTGAGCCCAGGGCCTCTGGCTGAGCTGGCACTGAAGCCACGACGGCTGCTGCTTTGGCTCCTCACGGTGGTTTTGCTAGACATATTTCCTGGGGTTGAGAAGGCTGTGCAAGGTGTGGGAGGCTGAGGGCAGAGCTGAGAGGAGCAGATTGAAGACACGGGCTCGGGTAACAGCTTATATATGGTACAGATGGGCTGGGCTGGCTCCTGGAAGTTGAGCTTGCAGTTTGGGAAGGGCTTGGCTTTACAAATAATGAGCTCACCCCCAACTTCTAGAAAGGTATGAAACATGAAGATTGCTTTTTGGCTTCCTTTAGTCATGCAGGAATTCTCCTGCCTTCCAGCCTTGACTTGATCCCAACACAATAAGCAGAGATGTAAATTCACTGAAGTCATGAGTTAGTCATGTTCTCAAACAAAGGAGACAAGGAACTGATCTGTGCTAGGTGGTTCTTCCTTCTGCCTGTTCAGACTCTCCCTGTGTGCCCCCTTCCCACACAGATTTTCATTTCCACCAGCACCTCCTTTATGGACAGTTGAGGACTCTCTCTGTGAGTTTTGAGGCATTTGCCCAGTGGTCCCTGAGCAGGAAGTGGCCTTCTGTGGTTTTCTTGCTTTGTTTGACCATTTCTGCAGCTCCTGGCCATCCTTCCTGGTGGTTTAGGCATGGGATTGGAGGTATTTTGGAGCTATAAGCCCTCCCTCCCTTGTAAGGCTAGGGTGATAGATTTTAGATTTTTCACTGTAAGAGCAGCATTTACTCCCTGTCCTGTGTGGTATCCTGGCTTTTGGCCACTTTCTGGAGAGAACAGAACAGATGTCACTGGACCTCTGCATGAGTTTCTATCCACATGTGCACTTCCCCCTACACTATTTGCTTTCCCATCAGGCCAATTCTGGAAAGCTCTTTTTCCATTTCAAATTCATACATACCTCCCTCTGCTATATTTTGAATGCTCACAGAGAACTTTGAAGAACCCAAAATGAGAAGCACAAAAATCATTGAAATTTTCTCAAAAATTTTATTCCAACTGTATTTAATATCTTTTAGAGTTCAAGAATCAGACACTGGGCCAGGGATTTAGCTCAGTGGTTCTGGCCCCTGCCTTGCAAGCGCAAGGTCCCGAGTTCAATCCCTGGTACCAAAAAAAAAGAGAATCAGACATTTCATAGGGCATGTCCACAAATTTGAGGGGCATATAGAAGTAATGAATCATTAAAATGCGCCCTTACAAATATGATGACTTCACAAGTAAACTCCAAATTTGTATTTCTAATCTCAGTGCTTGAAATCGCTGATCTCTAGACACCTTCTCAGAAGGGTGATAGGCTGTCATATAAGTGTAGGGCTTGGTTTATAGGGTATTCAGTTTTATTTTCTCAAGTCCATACATAAATACTACATATGTGGAGATTGGAGAACTATTCTAGGTATGTTGTTCTTTGAGAACATGTGCCTAAGTGAGCAACCATGGTAGGAAAGACCAACACCTATGTTCAGATGACCCTGTGGGAAGCACCTATTACTGTTTGAAACACAGTCTCTTATCTTCAACATTTTAGGGGATACAGCCTACAGGTAGGCAAAAAGTTCCCTGCCCAAACGTGGTGCTAACTCAGCGTCTGGCAGGAAAGCAATGCCTTTGCAGACAATGGCAGTAGCAGCCCTGCCTCCACCCTGGTTGCACAATGGTTCCAAGGAATGTGCTTCCACCCAGTTCTGGGAAAGAAGAGCTCCTTCTAATGGTCTGGTGCACTGATACACTGTGCTCCCCTGGGTGAGGGGCATTAGGTGTGGCATGGATGACTCTGGGTTGGGTACAAAGGGTGAGCAAGTTAGGTGGGAGCAATGTACATTTGCTCAACGTCCTAATGAGGTCAGGATAGAAGTAAAGATAGAAAGAAAATTTTAAAAATCATAATTTAAAAGTTGTGCTTTTAAGAAAACTTTAGCTTCAGAACACAATTATAGTTACCTAAGGTTAGAATGTCTTTTTTCCCTTCTAGGAAACTTCAAAAATTCCTAAAAATCTTAAAGGTACAATAGTCCTGTAAATTTGGCCCTTGCTTTTCACCTGTTAATTGAGCCCTCCATTTCCTCCAGAGTATAGATTCACAAATTTCAGATTTTCATCCTCAAAAAAAATCACTGTTAATAGGGTACCATACCCTAAACTTCAAACAAATGCAGATATCTTGCATTCTAAGCCCATGAACAGGTAACCTGTGACACTAGGAATACACATCCTGGATAACTCTTCCTGAGGACACCCTCTCCAAAACACATGAACATTCCCAGCTCCAAACCATAGTGCACCTCTGTCTTGAGTGGCCACACTTATTTTCTCTGTGCACTTCTTTAACTCTGCCTAATAAGTCCTTTTGTATACCTCTCACTGACACATCCTGAAATGCTTTTTTGTGGCATGACTTGGCAACCTTACTCTGTAGATGGGGAGAGCTGGGGGTATCTGTCTCCTCTTTGAGGGGAACCTCCTCGGGCCTATCTGGTAACAATATGTACATATCAACATCCTATATCTATGGCTGCTTTCACACTACAGTGACAGAGTACAGAATTTTACAACAAAGATTTTTATTTGCAAAGCATAAAGTACTTACTGTTTTGGGGATTTTTTTTTTCCTTTAAAGCAAACTTGCCAACTTCTGGATAAGAGTGTGAACCCTGAGGTCAGACCAGGTTTTCATGTTTCTGACCCTTTTGTACTTATTTTTATAAACATAAATGGGGTGAAAATAGTAACTATCTCACAATGTTGTTTTGAGATTGAAATGAAGTAATTTATGTGACGATCTTAGCACAGTATCTGGTACATATGTTCCCAATGAAAATGAGCTAATATTATTCTAAGGAAGCATGAAGAAGTTTTCTGTGTAAGGTCCCATGGGAAGCTTCAAGAACTAGATGTAACTGCACACGTGTAGTGGGGATGACTAGAGACAGTGAGAGAAAGGAAGCTGATGTTGCAAGCCTGTGCCACGTTAGTAGGAATCTAGGAAGCCACATATAGAGGTTTGCCTTGCTCTCAGAACCATGCAGAGCCACCGCAGTCAGAGGAGCAACAGGATCAGAAGAGCCATTTACAAACTTCCAGGTGCTCCGCGCAGCAGCAGAGGGGAGACCCCTTCCCAAGCATGCACCATGTTGTCCAAGCACTTGGGAGAAAACATGATCTGAGAGAAGCTGGATCTTTGGCAGGAACCCAGCAGGCTGCTCTCTCCTCTGCAGCCAGGCTTCCTAGCTCTTCCTGTGCTAGGTCTCAGGGCGCCCTCCAGACTTTGCTCCCAGAAACAGACTGCCTTCAACCAGCACAAGTTATCCCATCTACTCCCTCAGTCCTGCTTCCACCTTTTTGAGGGTGAGGGTGGAATCATCCCTAAATGAAATTATCATTTATAGCAGGGACCTCTCGTTCAAACATTTCCCACCAGAAGATGGTTTAACTTCTACATCTTATCCAGTCCCAGGCTTGACATATGCACAGGACAGCACTAGTAATATAAAGCATCATGCTGAATCTCCTGATGCAAGTATTTTTCCTACTAGCAGGTTTATAAGACATTTTCTAATAAAAAAAAACTTCATCCTCACCTGCCTTGGAAGACTCTGGGAACCAGTTCCAGTGACCCTGATAGAGAGTAAGATAGGAGGCCCCATGAGAGATGAAAAGGCCTTCTAAAACAGTGGAGGAAGAGTTAGAGGGGAAATGCTCACCCCCTTCACCAGCAGATCCATTTCCAATTTTACTTCCTGCTAACCCAAATGACAATTAAAGAGTGAGTTTCTACTTGCCTCAGTGTCTCAATGCCTCTCTCTCTCTCTCTCTCTCTCTCTCTCTCTCTCTCTCTCTCTCTCTATTTGTCTGGATACTGGGGGTGTCCAGTGTGGCCTGCTGTCTTGGGCTATGTTTCTCTCCCCCTCAAGAATTCAATCCTCTAAACCCTGCACCCTCTGCTTAGTACCCAGGGGAAGGTTGTGGTCCTAAACAGTGGGAACCCCTGGAAGATAGAGAGCTTTCTTCTTGGATGAAATCTCCTGGTAATTCTGGACCAGGAATCATGTGGAGCCCAGAAGGAGCTCTGGGCTCCCAGAGGAGTTGGATGGGGAAGGCCTGACCTTCATAAGAAGATTAGAACAAGGGATGATAGTTCAGGCAACTATGTGGGAGAAACTAAAGCAAAGAACAGCCTGAATAACTAGGAGAACAGCTGGCCTCCTCCTCAGTGGGCTGTGGAGCTCAGCCTCCTCTCTCTGCTAGGAGAGCCCCATTCAGGTGCAGTCCCTTCCTGCAAGGATGCCTCTGATGCCCTGGGATGCAGAATGCCTCCTCTGAGCCCAGGGGTTAACTTTACTGTTCACGTTGGTCCCAGCCTAGAGAAGGCACAGGAGGAAGGGCCTGGAGCCTGAGCCCATGGAAAGTCACCTCAAGAGGATTTGCCGCGTCTCTACCTGCCTGGGTGGAGCCAACTGATGAGGAGGGATAGGCTATTGTCATCATCATGGAAAGCTTAAGACTAAGCACGTAATCCTGAAAGCCACAACGCAGGATGATGTTGTTCAGAGGGAATCCTACAGACCCAGCCTGGTCCCAAGGAGCACCCAAGGAAAAAAAGTACATGCAGCCACTTGCATGTGTGATAACAGCAGCTTCAGGGGTGGAGTGGAAACTGTGGCCTCCTAATAGACACAGTGGCTCAGGAAGTACAGAGACTGCACTCCATAGTAACTAGGTTGTTTATGAACACACACTATGCAGTAAACTCAGAGCTCCTCTTACATTTCTCAACTTTTCATATATGGTCTACTCATTTTTTGCAGAGAACACTAGAGTGGGGTCACGTGTCTAGACACGTTACCTGAGTAGCTTTCTTTGCAACTGCAGCAAGTCTCTGACAACTCCATCTTCCAGGGAGATAGGACTCTACCTCAGGTTCATTGGTCACTGAAAGGACATTTTCCATAGTGTTTGAAAAGATTAGTTCCAAGCATTGACCCACCCGTGGAATAGTGGTCTCAAATCCCCCGATGTCACCTGCTGTGACTTTTTCTAGTAAGAGGTATC